CGAGACCCTTACAGAAGCTGAGGCAAGAGCTGTACTTGAGCGACGAGTCGAAATTGGTTCTTAGCATAAGCAGGCACTACATAGTAAACAAAACTCATGCAGTTGCTCGAGATCATCCTTGGGTGGTTCATGAATGGAGTATCATTCAATTCTATATACTAGCCTTCTCCGGCGGATCTATACCTTTTTTTTTATTTGTACATATGCAGTAGTCGTACACTATAACAGAATCATGATCGCGAATAAGCTTAGTGAACCACAGGTCCGTGGCCTCGTTCTCCGGGCCTCCGTTTAGGAAGCGAAGCAGGCTCGGCCTTGAGTCTCTCGACGATGGCCGGGCCCACCTCCTCAATAGCACGCACAAGAGCTTCAACAGTCTCGCGAGTCGTCTGGACATTGACGACACAGCGGAAGAACTTTCCATCCCCGGCAGCGTTCTCATCCCCACTAGGAGGTGCAAAGTCAACCATGAACCCCTTGTTCACCAGAGCATGGGTCACCTCCTCCGTGACCTTGCTGTTTGCCTTTGCGCGCTCGGCCTCGTTCGATACAACGCCGCGCGGGTGTACGAGCTGTCCGCCCGGCGCGTAGTAGAAGCAAACCTGGAGACAAGGGGGAGGGTTCTCGCTAATGAGGATAAAGTTAGGGTTCTCGGAGACGAGATTCGCGAGGTGTGCGGCAAAGTCGCAGGCTGTGTCAATCTGCTGCTCGTATCCCTCCGTGCCGTAGTATGTCCAGCCCAAAAAGAGCTTGAGGGAGTCTGCCCGTCGTCCACATTGGAGCGTGAGATCCGCCAGGTCCCAGACCTCCGGAGAATCGACGGAAAGCTCGTTTTCCGCTGTGCTAAGATCGCCGTTGGGTCGCGGTTCCGTGTCGTCGTTGTGGAACAGGTAACCGGCTGGGAGAGTATTTGCCCTGTGGAATTGGCGGATGTCTGCGGCTAGGAGGAAAGAACAAGTCACGGGGACACCGAGCATTTTGTGAGGGTTAATGGCGATGCTATTTGCTTTGTCGGCGCCAGCAAGTTTGTGCTTCTGGCGCTTTGAGAAAACGAACGAGCCGCCCCATGAGCCGTCAACGTGGAACCAGAGGTTGTATTTCTGGCAGATGGCGGCGATCTCGTTAAAGGGGTCGAAGGAGCCCATTACTGTCGTTCCAGCAGTTGCATTGACATAGAACGGTGTCCTTTTCTCCTGGAGGGCTTTCCGAACAAGCTTCTCGAGTTCCTCTGGGATCATGCGGCCTTGCTTGTCCACGGGCACTGCCCAGACGGAGCTGCTTCCCAAGCCCAGCATTTGTGCCGCCTTCTCGATGCTGTAATGGCCGTGGTCGCTGGTGAAGAGCACAAACTTGTAGTCCCCGTTGCCATTTTTCTTCGTATCGGGGTATAGGTTGTTGCGCGCAATGACAATGGAGGTGGTATTGGATGCTGAGCCACCTTGTACAGAAATCCCACCTGCTCGTGGCCCGTTGAGACCAAATAGCGAAGCTAACTTTTCCCCCGTATACTTTTCGATAATAGTCAAAGCCGGCGAGACTTGGTAGACATGAACGTTCGTGTTGAGAGCAGCCAAAATCAGCTCGGACGCCACACCTGGAGCATTTGTTGAGGCATATAGTTTGTCGAGAAATCCTTGATGCCATGTATTCACGGAATACTTCAACACTTTGCGGAGAACCTCAATCAAGCCATCTTGTCTGGCACCCTTTTCCGGTAGAGATAATTGCAGAATATCCCAAAGCTCTTCCGGTTTTTTGTAGTCGACTAAAGCTGTCCGCGGCATTTCCAAGTGTCCATCCGCACCATTTGTTCCATTCGTTCCATTGACCCCATTTTGCTGGAGAGCAAGGCCAAGAGGATTTTCGTCGGCGGACTGGATGAACGGGATGAGGAGATCTTGGACTGCGGTCAGAAGCTAGTGTCAAATTAGCAAGAGAACAAAGGGAAGCTCAACGCAGCAAGCAAAGAGAATTGATGCCGGATCGCCTATCAGACCGTTGAATGCGCTGGAGGAATGGAGTAACTCACTTTTCGCACTTCCTCAGCACGACTCGATAGCGGGGACACAGACATCTATACGGCGATTTATGATATTCCAAACAAGTAAATTTGAGAAAAGCACATAAAAGAAGAAAAATACAAGAAGCAATCACAATTTCATGAACAATGGTGTATAATAAAGGTACAGTCAAAATCACGCAGCATAAAGTTGAAGCCATCCCGCCATTTCCGGAATGGCTGGCGGATCCGCTGCGATGGCGACAGAGCCCAATTGTCTGACATCATAAATCGGGGCTTATCTTCGTCCGTTGAATGAGATTGTTTGAGATTATTGCTAGCGAGGACTGTCTACTCCTTTGTAGAGAGATATACACTTTTGATGGATGAGGGGAAGAGAAAATCTTCCATGGCGTAACCCCGCAGACGTTGGAGGGGCAGCACTGAAAAAGGCTCTTGGATAATTAGTCCTTCCACACGAGGGTCTGTGCAGGGTATGAATGTGGAGAAAATGCTTTTATTATCAAAAAGGAATCGCTGAAGACATGATATACACATGGACAAAGAAACCTGTCAAATCATGCTGTGTTACTATCACTGCAAGAACCAATCACAACCCTCTTCATTGTTACAAATCATGTCTTTGCAGCTACCGGCGCCTTAGGACTTTCTTCCGCTGCCTTTGCTGCGAATTTAGCCCGGGCTAATTCAATGCGAGACTTAGGTCGCTCGCCCTGGCCGTTTTTAATACTGTCCAGGCCTTTCGCCTTCGAAGCCCACTCTCCTCGCCGTCTCTTGTAGAGGTCCATGGACCAATTCCTCCATACCGCTCTGCCGACGAAAGAGTCTCGAAGAGTCAATTCATCTTTGAGCAGTTCCTGTGCCATCCTTTCTTTGACAAAGAACAGGTCTTTCGTTGCCGGCCATAACGCGTCCACAACGTGTGATCCACAGCTATCAAGCGCGAGTTCTACCAAATGACCCGAGAAGCGCGTAGTAAACTGGCGCCGGAACTGAGGTGTTGAAGTTGGAGCAGTCAGGGCCTGCTGAAGAACACGGGAGGCTGCGGGATCCTTGGCTAATCTGAGAAGTGATTCTGAAGACTGCGCTAGCAGGCTCGAATAAATGAGCCCGCTCACGGGCCCGGAAGCTGTAAGCATCGTCTGAGCTAGTAGGGAGCCATGTAATTTCTCTGCGGCGGCTGTCTGATTGTTGCCCATCTGCTTCTGCTTCTCCTCTGAGTCTTCCGCACATGCCGCGGGGTCAAGCTTAAGCATTTGTTCCAATCTTCGTGCCGGATCTTTGTCGTAAGCGGATTCCAAGGCATCCGAAAGCGACTTGGTGTCAACCCCGCGAACGAGGCATCGCTCGATCAACACTTTAGGGACAATCAGGCGAGATCGTTCAATGAGTCCAGGGATTTCAGGAATGATCAACTCTGTAGCATCTTGGAGATCATCCTTTCCTAGTCTCTCCAGTGTCCTGAGAACCACATATCCAGCGGTTGTATTGCGTGCAAGAGAGCCAATGCGGTCGCGAATAATGTTCTTGTAGAGTCCCTTGAAGAGCTTTCCCGGCATGGACTTGATGATAGTCTCGAGCAAACGAGAACCGACGGGATCATAGAGTAGGCCTCTGACGAATGTTGAGCTCTCAGCATTCTCCGCGAAATCATCATCCGGAATGAGCCTCCTGATGATTGAATTGGGATCCTTAGCGCTCGCCTTGCCAAAGTGCGACAGTTCAAGGAATACCAGCACCTGTAAGACGGGATTCCCTACAGGGTGGGTTGCCAGGGCTCTCAAGTAGGTGTTGTCCAGCCCGGAAACCATGTCACTCATAACCTTCTTCAGCGTAGCCTCGAAAACCTCTGGTACTTTACGCCTCTCCGCAACGGCCTTTTCCTCAGATGCGTCCGTGTTCACGATTCCCAACCTTTCCTTCTTCCGGCTGGCGACAACCGAATCCGTGGATGACAGGTCGACTGGCTCCCCGGCGAGAACCAGTAACAAGACTCTGATCGTATGCGACGCAAACCGTTCCGTCAACAGATATCCCCAATTCCCCTCTAATTCCTCAACGACCTTCATGAACATTTCCGCCAGCGACAATTCTGGTTCAGGCTCGTCCTCCTCGTCCACTTCCGCCCTACGGCCTTTCGACTTCGAAATCTTTTCTGTCACTCCAGGCGCTGCGTTGATGAACAATGTCTCGCAACAATGGCTCGCAAACCGATGCTGCACAAGATGCAAGAAATGGCCAATGAACTTGCTGAAGAGTCTCCGAATTTGGCGCATGTTCGAGAGCGAAATCAATCTCTCCATAAGCCGCGAGCAAGACTGACTGCAAGCCACCTTCAATTCTTTCCCATCCGCTTCCCTGTAGACACTGTCGACGAAAAGACTTCGCTCTTCCGCATCCTGGAACTGGTTCAGCTCCAATACCTCGTTGGCTTTCGAAAAGTATTCCTGCTCTTCGCTGTCCAGGAGACCGTAGAAAGGCATATCGTTCGCGGGCGCATCGTTCATGGAAACATCATTTCCTCCATCCCCTTCCTCCAGGGGAATATAATCCTCTCCTGAAGTGATCTCGTTGTTCAAGGTATCTGTCTCGGCGGAGGGCTTCAACCTCTTGACCGCGGATTCTTCAGGGCCTTCATCGCGCTTTCGTTTGGCAGCGTCTTTTTTGGTCTTGTCCTCCGCGCGACGACCTCTTTTCTGCTTTTCACGTGGCATAATGGACACAATGAATCAACCCTTTTTTCGAACAGTATGCGGAATAATTCGCTTTGGTTTGACTACTTTTCCGCTCAGGAAATTTTACGATAAGGTGTTGGTCCGAGCGTCTCCAGCCGTATCGTGGAATTGTTTGTTTGGTTTGCATCCTCGAGTGACGTATCGAAGTCAACAGAAAACAATTACAATACTTTTGATGGTCGCTAACGAACATGAACTTGTAATACAGTCGTTGGAGAAGAGATATGTCAGATCATGACAAAGTATTATACAGCAGAGTAAATCGCAGAGATGTGCCTTCCACACTCAATCCGCTGCTCCATGCTCACAGTGCGGTTGCCCACCTTGGCCCGGTGACGAGGCATGATTTGGAGTCGAGCCTCGTGCTTTGCACTCTTCGATTCAAAATCTGGAGGCGCGTTAATATGCGACGGCTTGGATAAATTACTCCTCTTGCCGGTGCCGAGCTGAAAGTGTTCATTTCCTCCCCAGAACAGCGCGTCGTGGCCCCAGTCGCTGGACTTCTCCAGAGACGTCGTGGCCGAAGTTTCAATGTGAGCTTTGTTGTCCATGATGGCCGACGCGTGTGTTGTACCGACAGAGATATTGCGTAGGCGGATGGGCGAGAGAGTCTTTGTTCGTTCGTCGTACTCGAACAGGCCACTGAATGCCTTCACCTTCGTAGGTGCGTCTTGTAGGTGCGTCCATTTTCCGTTTCCGAGAGCACCCCAGATGCCCCGGCCGCAAGTCCACGTGTCAGCCGTAATGCGACCCAGGTCACGTACCGTAGAACGATCTTCGCCAGGGCCAAGTGTCCGTTGAGCATCCACGGTGAAGAAACTGTTGGCGCCCCCAGCTGCAATCGCAGTCACCTTCGGAAGCCAGATGTTGCCTGGGTAGAAAAGCTTCACCGGTACTAGGGTAGGGGTATCGTTAAATGGCTGGGCGGGGTCAAATTCAGACCCCAGCTGCCCAAAAGAATTGTCGCCAAAGGCGTAAACGTTTCCGTCCTTGGTAAGCGCCAAAGAATGGTAATCTCCGGTAGCAATTTCAGTAACCTTAGAGTTGCCGAGGGTCTTCACCTCATGGCAGGTATCCACGGGCCCTTGAGGTCGAGTCGACCAAGTCAACCCAGGCACACCAAGTTGTCCAAAGGAGGGATAGCTCTCAGTGGAAGAAGCGACGGAGAAGACTCGACCAGAGTTCGTGAGGAGAAGCGCATGCTGTAGCCCACCACTGATGGCGGTGATTTTTTCGCCTAGCCTCAATGTAGGTTCAAGCAGCCGATAGCTCACACCAGCTCTTCCAGAGCTGAATGGGAACCAAGAGCCTTCTTTGGGTTTCCGACCGCTTTCCTGGTCATTCTTAGCAATCGGGAGTGAGTATACATCTCCGTTTGAAGCCAATGCAAGTATGCGATCACTCGACATGCACAAAGACCTCAAGTCCTTGCCAGTCAAGGTCTTTGTTGGTTTGAAGTCGGTTTCCGAGTACCCTTTGCCCCATTGCACCAGATCACCATTCTCAGTAATGGCAGCACCGGACTTCTCTGCAATTTTGAGATCTCGGAGCACTTGACCCTCAAAGTAGGCTAACTGCCGAGGAGACTTAATCACAGTTTCTTTGGAGTCAGGATCCACAACACGATAAGCATTGTTTCCCCATAGGTAGACTCCGGGGCTCTTCAAACTTCTTTTTTCTTGCACATACTGTGAATCCAGGTCCCCAGCAATCTTTGGCGTAACGTTCTTCGCTTCAATATCGCTCCCAAGTTGATCGCCTCGGGTCGCAAAGGTATAGACTAAGAACGCAGCGGCAGCTGTTCCACCTAGACCAAGTGAAGTACGAAGCCAATTTGACGAAGGAGCAGATGATTCTGGTGCTCTGCCGTTACCATTAGCATACTGTCTTCGCCATGATCTGATGGCCGACCGGCCTGTTCGCGGGAGACGGTATGAAAGTGTGACGAGGTTCGTCACTGGCTGTCGCACCCGGTTCATCGACATGATGTTCTCAAATATGCATCACCTAAACCTCAGCATAACGAGCTACAGAAACTTCTTTGATGAGCTTGTCGTTTCGCACCGGGCAGAAGTGAAAAGTGACTTCAGAAGCTCAGTTGCGTCAATGATCTAGACCATGGGCGGTATGACGCGGCAGAATAGCATCGAATGGGCCACGGAGGATGGTCCATCTCCGATTGCGATCACCACGGTTGAGTTTCATGGTGTCTTTGAATCTCCTCACTTATGGATTACTTACAGGCCGATTGAAACTATACTAGAGGCGCCAATATCGAAGCCTCCGCGACTTTATCGTGGGCTCGAAGCTGAACCCCACGATGCCTCAGCCTACTGCGGGACGGCGAACTCGCCGGCAGACTGCACCTTCAGGTCCGCCAAAAGAATTCAAAGTTCAGACGGCAGAGGTAGCGGAAGTGCTGCCGGAAGGTATTGAGTCTATAACAGATGTCAAGAATGAGCTCGATTTTGTACAGTGGTATAGCGAGGTTGAAAATGGCCTCCTCGAGAGCAGCTATGACGAGTACCTGTACGCTGATGAACAATCCCTTCTTGCTCACGATGCGCTGGTTGTTTTCCATGCTGACCCATTCGCGTGGTTAGATCTTGTCTTCAGGAGCTCCAAATGTCAAAGTCTCACCTGGATTCACTTCTGTCTGATACATCGTCTGCGCTCGACACCCTTCGTAGCCTCTCCGAATCCTTCAAGGCCGTGGAAGCTCAAACATCAAATTTCCGGAAGCAATGCGAGGGGCTTTTATCTGCCCAAAAGCGTGACACAGAGCTAGCGGAGAAAATACAAGAGAACCTCCAATACTATGAGTTCCTGGACCCTGCTTCAAGGCGGCTCAACGCCCCTGGCGCTGGAAATACCGTTCGTGGCCAAGACTTCTCAGATATGCTCAGGCGGCTGGACGAGTGTCTGGACTACATGGAGACGCATGTGAGTATTGCCGTCGTATTCTGAAGTCGGCGAGTCGACTGACGCATTCCCAGCCGGAGCAAAAGGAAGCTAGCGTGTATCGATCCAGATACAGGCTGCTTATGACGCGAGCTCTCACCTTGATCCGAGGACATTTTGTTTCCGCACTTCGAGATATATATTCCAGTGTTTCGAAAAAGATTGCAGACCAACAGCAGAACGAAGCGACTATGTCGGCCCTATTGTACGCCAAGTTTCGTGTTGGTGCTCCTGAATTGAAACAAATCGGCCTCGAGATACAGAAGAGAGCTGTGCCACCGTTGGATCCCGAACAGGGAACCGAAGCGGAATATCAGAGTCTTCTCAATGAACTTCACGCGAACTTTTCAGCTACTCGTGGCAAATTGATCGTACCCTTAGTACGAAAAAAGCTCTACGATATTGCACACGCCCCGAGTACATCAAAGGATTTGGTTGCTTTCGCCCGCGCCAGCATTAGCTACGTTCGTGGTGTGTGTTTGGATGAGTTTGAACTGTGGGGTGAATGGTTTCACGGCCATGCAGGCTTGTATGATTTCCTCGAGACAGTTTGCGAGCCTCTGTATGATCATCTGAGGCCTCGCATTATTCACGAGGACAAGATCGTAAATCTCTGTCAACTCTGCACCCTCTTACAGACCCGCTTTCTACTTGATCAGGATGAGGATGTGGAGCAGACGGATGCTAATCAACTCGACTTCTCCGTACTGATACAACCCGCCTTGGAGGATGTGCAAACCCGTCTCGTTTTCCGCGCACAAGCCTTTCTGCGTGATGAGATTGAACGGTTCAAGCCGCGCCCAGAGGACCTCGATTACCCTGCACGCAACAAGGGAGTCTCGATCACCGTTACCGAGAATCAGATTTCCGGCAAGAAGCTGGCACCTGCCGACACCTTGGTACATCTGACAAAGGCAACGAGGCAATTAGATGATGACCCCGACGCCGTCTCGGAGCAGGACTCCAAGTGGGATTTTGAGCCTCAGGCTGCTCTCAGTGGCTGGTATCCAACATTGCGTAAAGCCATCTGGCTTCTCAGCCGAATATACCGTCTCGTAAATGTATGAACGCCCTCTGCGAACCCACAAATTCCATATTGAAGCTGACCGACTTCTTCAACAGTCCACTGTTTTCGACGACCTAGCTCATCAGATCGTTCACCAGACGACCGTCTCTTTGCACCAAGCAAGCGCTCAAATCTCAAGCAAATCCACCGCGGACGGGAAGCTCTTCTTGATGAGCCATCTCCTGATCCTGAAGCAACAAATCGTCGCATTCGACATCGAGTACGTAGCGCCGGAAGTATCGTTCGATTTCTCCGGCATCACCAACACCTTCTGGGAGCTCCGGGAAAGAGGCGGCCTCTTCAACCCCCGCAACCTCATGCGCCTCGTCGGCCATGGCCTCCTCCCACGCGTCGTAGAGAATATGCTCGATGCAAAGGTGGAGCTCGACGGGCGGCTCCGAACCGTGATCAACGACTTCATTAACGAGTTCGCAACGAAGATGACGGCCTCCTTACCCGCAAAATTCATCGATAGGCGGAATTTACAGCAAGGAGAACTGATATTTCCGACATGCCAGAATATTGAGAAGGAAGTCCCCAACTTACGGAAAATACTCAGTGACTATCTTGACGATCCCCGGATGAAAGAGACTCTTGTTGGTGCGGTACAGGACCGCGTCATCCAGATTTACGAGGACTTTTTTGACAGATATACATCGTCTGAACGGAGCAAGGGACATTCCGTCTCCAAGAAGGGTAAAGGCCGCGAGGATGCCGTGTGGGACGTGGAGACCTTCGCAGAATGGTGTGAAAGTATTTTCCGAGTCGGCATCCCTGAGCAAGATGACGAAGGATTCCCTAGTGGGAATCTGAGCCGGAGCGGGAGTCCGGGAAGCTAGACAAAGATAATCCTGGCTGTTGTTCCTATCAATCACGATCACGCTGTAAAGGCCCCTTGAATAACAATGTATATTATAGCAGGGTTTGCGTACATAATCCAAGCCAAACATTCGGCCCTTCCGACTGACTAGTAAGGTTTTCATAACAATTACAAAGGTAGAGCGAGAGCGAGGTCAATTAGATGATATATTTTTTATTGATACTGGCAGTAGTCGCCGAAGAGATCGAAATGTTTTTTGCGCAAATCCATACTAATCATGTCATATACAACACGCAGCGACCGTGCCAATTGAACTCAGACGAGGGGTATGATGCAGCAGGAAAGACAAGCATCGCTGAAAAACCGACAAATATATACATGCGCGTTGCTGGAAGAGGTAGGAAATAGCGACGATTGTAGGCGGGGTTTAGAGCACATGGCGAATCTTGGCATAGAGTTCGGTGTCGAGGAAATTGTAGTTTGGATCTTCCTCGCAGAACGGGTGACGTGTCAACAGTGTCTGCGCAGTTGGACGTTCGGACGAATCCCTGCGTTCTCTGTGAGTACAAATGAAGCAACCCGGAGGGGGACGTGTGGGGCAACTTACACAGTGAAACAGTCATACATAAAAGCCAGGGCTGCAGGACTGATAGCCATGGAAACGTCGTCTGGGATTGGAGGTGCTTGACTCAAGCTTCCAAGCTTGAAAATGGCACCGATCGCCTCTTCTTTGCTCCATGGCCGGCGGCCAGCAAACATCTCTAGTACCACACAACCTAGAGACCAGATATCGACCTTGGCGCTGTAGCCCTGCCCCTGTGATTGTATGACCTCAGGCGCCATCCAGAAAACGGACCCTTGCATTGAGTTCGACGAGTCGTTCCCGTAGATATCGTCCGTCTTCTTGGATATACCGAAGTCAGAAATCTTGCAGGTGCCGTCGAGATCGAGGAGGATGTTGTCCGCCTTCAAGTCACGATGCAATATTCCCTGGTCATGAAGGTATGCTAGCCCGCTCAAGGTTTGACGAGTCAGGGATCTGACAACGCTCTCCTCGAATTTACCATGTTTCCGGAGGCAGCTACCAATGGAACCACCAGAAATATACTCGAGATAGATCGAAATGGAGAATTCGCCGCGCTCACATCCAAGATACTGCACGATGTTCGGATGTTCAAGGTGCTGCATGGTGTCGATTTCTTGGTCCATAGCGGCAACCATCTCCTTAACCCGATCCGTATCTTGCCCAGCAAGTCTTGGGTTGATCTCGACTTGTTTTACGGCCAAGACTTCACCATTGTCAGCATTGATCCCCAGGTAGACTCTTCCGTATGTTCCCTTGCCGATCAGCTGACCGCGGATAATGCGGAAAGTAGGCTGTCGCTGAGGTATCCCAGATGGTGTATTGTTCTGCGGAATCGGGTCGAGTTGGCTGAGACGACTGCCGGGCTTTGGCTTGATCTGCATGATTTTTGCTCCGAACATTTTTGTGCTCTTCCGCCGAAGAATCTCGCCGGACTTCTGGTTTCCAGTATGGATGCTGCGACTTCGGCTAGCTTGGTTAGCACCCTTGGCGACCTCTCGGATTGACTTTCCTCGAGTAAGCCCCCCTGCCCGGTTGATATTACGACGAGCTACTATATCTCCACCTTGTGGCTTGAGAGTCGGCTCGTTAGAGCCCAACGTATCTCCTGCGTTGGTATTAATGTCTCCGGCGTAGGACGAGCTGGTCTGGTTTTCCTTCTTGTGCAAATCATTCTCAGGCGGGGCTCTGTTTGCCGGGGATGACGGAGGAGATACCCCTTGTCCGTCAAGGTAAGGTGCGTCAAGGTCGATGTCAGGGAAGAAATCGTCCAGATTGTCGATGACGCCTTCAACCGGGGGTCTGCTTGCCCAAATATCGCCTCGAGCAAACGAGTCTCTCCGCGGCGGCGGCCTCTCGTCTTCAGGCGAGGCGGCCATGAGGAAGGAAGACCCGTCCCGACTGCCAGAGTCACCGTTGGCATCGGCAAAACTTTCGCGTGTGGCACTAGGCGACCTGAAACTCACGGAAAGACCTTTGCGGAGTCTGGTCTCAGTATTCACGGTTAGCGCCGGTTTTTCTGTTCTCTTCTGGGACTCTGAAGTCCCAGTGCCGG